CTCCGGGGCCTCCGTCTGCTGAGGCCCTTAGTTTTCTCTGTCAGAGAGATATGGTGCCACAACAATCTACAGTTCCCAAAATTCCAACACCTTGGCAGTTAAAATGATGTTAACCTTGATTATTTTTGCAGTGCAGATGCAGCCTGTGAAAACACTTAACTTTGGCTTGTATGTGCCCATTTTTTAAAAAAGTTACTGTTACAACTGATACTTAATAGGAAGAAATAAGCTAAACTAGATCATGTGACTTAAATGAGTGGGAATTGTGTGTCTCTTGATATTGAATTGCAGCTCCCAGCATTCGTCTCATACCCCCCAACTTCTCTGATTTGGCAGGGACAGTCCTGATTAATCCTCAGACTGAGTTCAAAGTGCAAAAGTAGTTTCCCCTCAATTAACTCAGCAGCAGAGAGAGGACAGGAGGGGGTGAAATCTTGTCCTTACCAGTATGATTAGTCAATGCAAACTGCTGCAGTCTCTCCTAGTTTGTGTGTTCTTCCTCCTAAATAATGTTTGCCATCTTGACCAGACTCTGATGTTGCCTAGCTACACATATCCCAGTTTCCATCTGTGAAATGTTGGCAGGTATGTCATCTCTAGCTGTCATGTTGCTTAGGGCCTAAGCAGACAGGCAGCCATGGGCCGCCCCGGGAAGCTGCGGTTGGGGCCAAGGTAGCCGCACTCCTCGGCCCCAACCTGCAGCGTCTCAGGCCCTGGAAGGAGCGCTAAAATAGCGCTCCTTCTGCAAGACGCCGAAGGTGCGCCGCAAGAGGCCTTGGGCACACCTTCGGCATCTCTTGTGCCACAGCGTATGCGGACGCTGTGGCGGAAGTACGTCATCGGAGTGCCGGTCGTGTTGAGCCCCAGGCGCTCCGATGACATGTTTGGGAAGGGGTTGGGGAACCCAGCATGAGGCTGCCCCTCCCCTTTCTTGCCTCGAAAGTCCTTTGGGCTCATGGAAGTAGCAGTTCAATACCATCTGGAAGACTACATGATTCCCACTCCTAGCCTAAATCCAATTCCTACTCCCAACTTGAGTAGAACTATAGAATGAATTTTGTTATTGTATGCCATCAAGTCATTTCTGACTTATGATGACCCTAAGGTGAACCTATCATAGGGTTTTCTTGGCAAGATTTGATCCGAGAGGGTTTGCCATTGCCTTCCCCTGAGGCTGAGAGCCCATGACTTGCCTAAAGAATGATTTACTGGATGGTAAGACAAAGTCATAAACTGACATACTGTGGAGGCACCAAACCCTATCTGATCTTGGGTCAGGTCTAGTTAGTACCTGGGTGGGGTACTGTCAAAGAATATCAGGTACTGTCTGCTGTATTCAGAGGAAGGCAATGGCAAACTATCTCCCAAATATTTCTTGCCTATGAAAACCAATGAAATTCAGATGGTCACCATGACAGGTGCCATGAAGGCATGCATGCCCATGCGGGCACATGCACACACACACAAGCCAAAATTCATGCTCATTCAATGGAGCTACTCTAGCTGGGATGACCAATTGGATTTGGGTCTATCTATGATGGTGTTTAGTCATCTAAAAACAAATATGCATGTTTAATAGATTTAAAAGCCTAGATACATTCCAGACATTTCTTAATCAGCTCAATTAACTTTTAACTGCAAAGAGTTCCAAGCATCCTTTCCGTTCTTCAGCTGTGCCAGTTAAAACATTGCTGTTATTAGAAAAAAATAAAATAAACAATGAATAATTGTCATAATTGAAGAATCCCACTCCGTCTCTGTTTTTTTGTGACTAAAAGAAACAATTACATCCAAAGTTTCTTTTTAAAAAATCATATGTAAAAACAAAGTATTGGAAAAAGAAAATGAAATCAGGGGTTGGTTTGCTTGTTAAAAACCACTTGCTTAACAACTGGACAATTTCTTGGTGAGTTAAGAAATAGTGGATTGCTTTAATATGATTTAGGGATGCTGGTTATTGGATTGTACCAGTAATCTAGTATTGTTTTAATTAGAGGGTAAAATCATCTAAGGAGAGAGCCAGTGAGGTGTGAACTAGGACACTGGGAGACCAGGGTTCGAAGCTGGGTGACCTTGCACAACTCATGCACTCTCAGTCTCAGATGATGGCAATGGCAAATCCCCTCTGAAGAAACTTGCCAAAAAAAGCCTGTGGTAGGTTTGCCTTAGGGTACCATAAGTTGGAAATTACTCGAAGGCACACATCATCATCATTAACAACAACAATCTAAAGTAGATCTCACACAGGAACCATCAGGCTGGAAATAAAGAAGAAACTTGGGGCCACCATCAGCTCTCCTAAGAAGCTGGTACATTAGCCTGTTGTCAACTTCCTACAATCTACTAGGCTGAGGAAACCCAGAACAATATGGATGTGAATTTGAGTTTTCTTATGTTTTATCTTTTGCCTTCCCTGATCACTTTTCCTTTTGTATACTGACTTTTAAAGCTGTAAATCAGAGAGCAATTTAAAAATTGGTGTGTAAGCTGCTTCCCGAGTCTTTTGAGCTGCAGAGAAGGTGCTACACATAAATAAACACATTTCTCAGATCTGATAATATATATTTATCTATATTTTAAAGAGTTCTTTTATACCTCTTTTCAGTTGAAAAGGTTCCCAGAGTGGCTGATGTAGTATCAATAAGAAATAAGAAAATTATGGTTTCAGATTTAGTGTTTTATGTGACAATATTACTCTTACTTCCCATTATACAGAGATTGTTCTTGGAAATGAAATACTGGACTAGATAGGTCTTTAATTTGTTCCAGGAAGGGGGGGGGGTCTTCTTACATTCTTAATTGGTATATCTCATCTTTGGAAAGCTATAAACATGTTTTGTTTGAATAAAGGACAGCACATTGCAAGGATAGCACATTACTGCAACACAGACCCCCCCCCCGGCCTCTTGTTGTGCCAGCCATTTTGGGAGACCAGTGCCATGATTTGTGGAGGCCACAGGATGTCCTGCCCCTTCCTGTGGCTCGTAGCCAGTCAGGGGGATCACGTGAGATCCCCCAGCAACCCCCATAATCTTGTGGGGTGAGATTTGGGCCCTATATAAAGTCCTTTTCCATGTGACTGCAGTCATTGCAAGCCAGGCATCCAAGAGACCCAGCCCACTCACCCTTGGCTTAGTCTTTTTCATTACTGTACCTTCAGGCCTTTTCTGGTTGCCTTCAGGGGCCAGGAGGAAAAGTTCCTAGTGCTATTGGAGCATGGCTTTTTCACCCTCCCTGGGGGATTTTTGGTCTTAGTTAGCATTGTATGGTGTTAGTTAGTCATTCTGTAGCCTATGTCAGAGTAAACTGTGCTCTGGGTAGAAAATGTCATAGATGTGGCTATAGCATGAAACTAAAGCAAAGGTAAAAAGGTAACCTGAGTTCAGTTGGGAGACATGATGGCTCATCATTTGAAGAGTCCTGAGTCACAGGAGGCTGATGACAGAAGGGCAGGAGATGAAGTCAGCCAACCTCTTTTCTGCAGAGTCATGGCTATCAGGTGACAGGAAACTGGGTGACATACCAGTAGTGGGCTGGATTCAGATCCCAGGAGGAGACATTGTATATAACTGAGTGAGCTGAATGCTCAGTGTGGCTGCATTGTATATAGGAGCCTGGCGTAGCACTTTGTCAGTCTGATGTATATAGCTGTACTCAAGAATAAAAGCCTTTTCATGAGAACTTAGCAGTCCAGCAGTCTTTTGTCTTGCTGTCAGCTTCTGCTTGGGAGAATTTTTTTCTCTGCAGCCTGCACTGAACTTAATAGTAGAGACTCTTCTGTGGTATCTTGTTCCTGGCATAAGTCTTCAGCATGTTGATCCCAGATCACATGTCCCAATAGCCTATATTTGTATTGTTTCTTCCTTGGTTTAACCTTTAGCTTTGTGAATTAGCTTGGTTTGCTGCTTCTGTCACAACTTGGATAGGGTCATCGGAGCACCTAGCTGTAGAAGTCATGCATTCTATTGAAATAGCTCA